GTTCCGTGCAACGTTGCTTCCTTCCTAGTGACTTACTACAGTGTATGACATTTGCACGGCCTTGCTAGCATGGTCCCTTGGGACACAAAAGGCACAAGAAGTTCACCAAGCATTTGTTCAGTGGTGCAGACAGCCTGGAACTGTTATGTTGGCTGTGCCTTGAAAAGTAAGCGCTGGTCATGAGTGAAAACACAGCTTCTGTTGACTTAGGGTGCAGAGAAAGGAAGATAAGCACAGATTGGGGAAAAAACATTACAACTACTTTCACAGCCATTTTGTTGAATAGCAGAATCCATGTTTCAAGCCTTTATAATAAACGGGGAAGGGCTTCTCCATATATGGAAGTCAGAATGTTCATTTTCCAAATAAACTTCATGCTTTCCCCAACAAGGTCTCATGAGGCCTACAGCAAAGGAAGGGAACCTCTGGGTTCTGTTGAGTATAGCTTTGAGCCTGACATTTGTACCCAGACAAGAAAACAGCTTCCTGAGGAGAATCACACACCACAGCCTATCATCTGTCTGCAGCCCACCCTGCCTGGAGACTATCTAGGAACACAAAATCTGTACCTATGCCAGAAGTACAGCTTGTTGTGCCAGCTGAATATCTATCAGCACTCCTACTCCTACTAATTGAGAAATGCCCATGACATTCAAGAGTCACTCATTTTCCCCATAGTTTCCCTGCAAGTCTTGCACTTTGTACAGACATTTCCTGGCACAGCTGTCACCACTATGACAAACAAAACACAATCTTTTGCATAGGATGTATTTCACAGAGTGACCATTTCCATATAATCCAGGTACATCCACACATAGTTCTGACTACCACTATGGGACAACTGTGACCAGCATACAAATATCCACTCATCATCTGAGCTCCTTTTATGGTAAACCTAACCTGATATCACATCTGTGATAAACCAATCAGACATTTGACTCCCACTTGACACAGAAGACTTCAATATATGGTGTCAATCCTGTAAGGATAAGTAACCTAGAACCTAACAGCAACATACATGTATATTGTATCCTTCCTCTCTTCCAATGGAATATTGGGAATGGATAGAGAGATACGTTATAGAAAATATGCAGTACATTTGTGATTTCATTTCATAATCATAGTGGTGTGGTTGGTTGTATGCATTTTTGTTACCTTACTTTGTAAAATAACATGGAAACTCAAGATGTAACACATACATAAAACCTCCCCCTAGCCACTCCCTTTTCATTGCATAAACCACCAAACCCCCTGCCATGGGTCAACTTGTTGGTCATAGGTCAAATCACAAGGCCATCCTGATGATTGACCAGGCTATGGCTAAAATGCCATTTCCATCTTTTTATGTACTCATCATGTCCAAAAAAATCACAAATCTCAATATCTTTCTCCGTGCATCCCTGGTTCATAGCTGGTACATGAGGGTCTGCATGCCCTTTTTCGTTAACCGTTATGGGCTATTTTAATTTACCGTTAATCGTTGCTGGCCCGCTCTAATTCAACGTTAAGCGTTATCAGTATATTCCTCGTGAAGCGTTATTGGTCGTTTTAATTCAACGTAAAACGTTATTTGTCATCCTAAATTCAGCGTTAAGCGTTAATGAATAATTCTTCGTTACGCCTAATTTTGCCTTTCAAAGTGCAGGAAAATGCGTCATTGAAGGTTCAAAAATGCAAAATTTCCCGGGGGAGAATGCCCCCGGACCCCCTACATTGCTCGCGCCAAACTCGCGCTTCTGCGCTCGGTCCCTTTGGCTCTAGCCAGAACCAGTCTTCCCTACAATTTCCGGAAGTTTGCGGAGAGTTACAGAATTTTTTTAACGAATCCGTCAACCTTGACAGGCAAATTAAAAATCTTGAGTAAAATATGAAAACATCAGAAGGACCGACAAACACTCTCAACACCATGATTTGCCTCTCAAAATGCGGGAAATTGCGTTTTTGAAGGTTTAAAAATCCTAAATTTCCATCGGTAAAACTGGGCAGACTGAAAAAATGCAAGCTGGCCGACGTCGACTCGGACACCGGGTATTTGTGAACGCACTCGGGGACCAGGGCAGGTGGGAAACACAGGGAACACATACCTTTAATGCATGCTTCATAACATGTAAGGTATACGTAATTTTGTCAGTGATCACCTTTTCTCACAAAGTGAGATACCAAATCCAGTGCAGCTCGAAAAAAAGCCTGTCAATTTACCGTTAAGCGTTGCCGACCGTCCTAAATTTACCGTTAAGCGTTATCGGCCCTGCTGAATTTACCGTTAACCGTTGCCAGGACCCCCCCCATGCAGACCCTCGTACATGTGAGCAAAGCTTTGTCTATCACTTCTGTCTGATAAACACCATTATTCCTCACCACACCACCACCATCAAGCAGTAAAATTAACCCAAATGCCGCTGTCTTTCTGCTTTATCATGCAAGTCTGATGTATCCCACTAGTTCTCATAGTCATATCATATAAAGACAAAGATATTGCTAAAGGTATTACTCAAAATTTATCTTATGTAACTGTGTTTTTCAGATTGTAAGTCAAGGACATTAGTATTTCTTCCAGTTTCATTGCATAATATTCATGACTACAGCCCTAGAGCTGCAAGTGAACAAGCCAATATCACATCACAACCCTTGGGGCCAGGGCATATTCCTGACAACCTTGCCACCACGCTTTGCTTACAAAATTTACCTCTGTGAAAATGACTAAGAGTAAGAAACATGCTGATTCAATGTACAACATCCAACTATTGAACTTCCTGAGGATATTCATAGCACAATAAGACTGGCAATCTCCCGAGGCTTTAATTCTATTACTGGGCTCTAATTGTATTATTAATCTTCATCATAAAACTTGTCCCTTACATTTAGTACTTTTGTGGCCTACTTATAGCATTGACAAATGTCTACCAGGAGTATTATTTCTGCTTGTTTGTCATTTTATGTCAACTTTGATCCTACAAAAGGTCCTATATATTTACAGAATAGATGACTTGTGTACAAAGTAATTCTATAAAATACTTCCACATTTGTATTTGGAATTATGATACTTAATACCTAGCTAAAAATTTTAAGCTGAAAATTGCAAGTCTTCAAGTTAAACAACAATCAATAATTTTTTTGGGTCAAATTACAGGTTGGAAGCGGGTATTTTGAGCCCTGCCACATGATGGAATGGAGACGCACACTGCCAACAGATACAATTAAAACATGGCATGCAAAATTATGAGGATAAATGTACTTCACAGCTCGTCTCCTTGGCTGAGTTCTCCTAATGGATGCGTTGTCATCTGGTATTACTGAATTCATATTTAATGCTCTTATAGATATATCTGGGCTTAAGTCATATGCCACAATATTTAATTTCAAATATGGTAAGAAACACAAGAAAAACTGATTTTGGATAACATTAACAACTTCCCACATGTCACCACTGCTTTGATAAATGTACTAGTTGGGATGAATGTACTAGTTTATTAAAATATTTACAGGAAATTTCATTCAAAATATCATTAATACAGTCCTTGTTGTCTAATGCTAAGAAACACTTGAACTGCCCTAATAACCTTTTATAATTCAGATGTGTGCCATTATAGCACTTATAACTCATAAATAATGCATATACAACATGCTTGGAAATACTCCTGGTTAATGCAAATTTGTGTGATCTACAAGATCATTAAAAAATACATCAAGTTACAAAATCATTATTCATAAGAGGGAAAAGATTCTTCTTAGTTTCAATAGGAGTTTCTCAGGCAAAACAAAAATCCATGCATTGCTGGTTATCAAGTCCGCATGTAAGATCCCTTTAGATTTTCCTCAGTTTGCAGGTTGCTGACTTTTCTCAATTTTATTTTTAACTCAAAGAAACAGGGAATTCTATTGCTTTTGCCAGACAGATGCACCAACAAGGAAAGTGAAAAGATAATTTCGCTCAACTGTACACAAAGGCGCCTGAACAGTGAAATATGTGCTGCATATCATGTATGGCACAAAATGAAATACTGTGCCATAAGTAATATTGTTACACCTCTGGTGGTTAAACGCAATCTTCTAGTCCTGATTAGAACGAACTACAGGCGCTGACAAAGAGTCAATCACTGCTGGTGTGACAAAAGCTGACGTCGGCACCAGGTTATTACAAAAAGCCCTGCAAGAGATGGGGAGAGACGTCATCCCTGTGGCGAGGGCGAGAAGGAAGAGCATAAATCAAGAATCTAGATGTTAGAAGTATGTCTGGTACTGACATGACTTTGGAAAAATCTAGACCAAAATGGCAAGTTATATGTTGGCTTCTGTAGTGTTGTAAAATTGCACAGAGGCTTTCTTTCACGGTATCTCAGCATGCCAGCCCGCGGTGCTAAGAGAGTGCACAAAGCCATGCTTCAGAAGTCTGCAGCTTTATCACCAGGCCGACATTATAGTTACTGGGGAACTCTGATAAGGAATGGTCAATGTGTGGTTCAACTTTACGATGCACAACCTGTACATTAGCGTGTAAGTCACACAAACCATTAATATGCACAGGCTACTTCTATTCATTCTGCTATGACGTCTAGGAACACATAATCTCCCCTTGAGGAATGGGGTTTTAAGCCAGCACTGACCCAACATCCATCAGTACAGTACAGAAGTAACTCTGCATCTTTCCCTAGGCTCAATAAGTTTTTCCTGATGCAGTAGGCCCTTGGGGCCATATGGCACATACTGTGGACTTTTTTATCAGGAGGCTCCTATCTCTGACCTGACCACCTGTGTAGAGAGATAGCAGAGATGGCTGCTTAGGAGATGGGAGAACTGTAACTAAGCAGGCCATCATGTTAGAACAAGTTTGAACTTTGATGTTGTTTAAAAAAATTCTCAAACTAATCTGTAGACATCCATGGTTATTGATAGTAATACATGAATATGTATAAAAAAATCATCATGTGACATCACTTCTTGTCATTTGTAGTTTCGGTCATTTCTTCTTGTCATTTCTAGTTTCAGTTGTTTCAATGTGTCCTGCACTAATCTATGACTATATCCAGAAAATTTATGACATTTTGCACTTAAGTCAAAATCTTGATAATACAGTTTGTGATTAGGTATCTCAATTATCTTACCAAAAAACATGTCAGAAAACCGAGAGTAGGAGGAAGCTTTCAAAAATGTTACCTATCTTCAACCTCACAATGTTACCTTCAACATTAGCATGAAAAACTGAAGAAGATTTAAGGCCTGACGCCCAAGAGCTAGCTTTTAATGTCAGCTGACTCCTCGCAGACAGTATTTGTCACTTGATAAGGCCATGCCAGCTCAATTCAATGAATCACATAGACATACTCCATAAACCTAATTCTGCTAAAAGCAGGCACAAAAAATCTTATGCTCATTTTGGGACATGTTAAAAGATGTTATACACAATGTGCTGACGTCCACATAAGTTA